GGCTTGGTGGTGTATGTCTCAGGCTTGGTGGTGTATGTCTCAGGCTTGGTGGTGTATGTCTCAGGCTTGGTGGTGTATGTCTCCGGCTTGGTGGTGTATGTCTCAGGCTTGGTGGTGTATGTCTCAGGCCTTGTAGTGTATGTCTCAGGCCTGGTAGTGTATGTGTCAGGCCTGGTAGTGTATGTCTCAGGCTTGGTAGTGTATGTCTCTGGCTTGGTGGTGTATGTCTCAGGCTTGGTGGTGTACGTCTCAGGCCTGGTAGTGTATGTTTCAGTCTGCGTAGTTGTGCCAGGAGTTGTAACCTTTCTTGGTGTCTCGTATGTTGTTGTAAGCACAGTTGTGTATGTCTCAGGCTTGGTGGTGTATGTCTCAGGCTTGGTAGTGTATGTCTCAGGCCTAGTAGTGTAGGTCTCAGGCCTGGTGGTGTATGTCTCAGGCCTGGTGGTGTATGTCTCAGGCTTGGTGGTGTATTTCTCAGGCTTGGTGGTGTAGGTCGTCAGGCCTGGTAGTGTAAACGCTTTCTGGAGTTGTTGTCACCTTCCTTACAGTGGTAACTTGTGGGGTGCTTACAACTGTCGATGTTGTTGCTGTTGTTGTACATAGATTCTCACAAGTCATCTTGTTGTCCTTGCATTCACAGATAGTACACCTATCAACATACTTCTTTGTGTTGGCTGAAACAAAAGCATCATAATATTAGTAACTGCTCACATAATATTATGCACTTGATGCTAATCATCATTAAACTTGTATCTTTTCACCAAAAAGCCTTAATTAAGTTAGTTAGAAATGAAACTCACATCCCAAGACGTTTTTCTAATAGTTATGTTTTCTCCTTTGGTGTCGTTGTATAAAATACACTAATTTTTCTCCATGGTACCTTTTGTTCTATATCCTTATGGTTTATGTTGACGCTTTAATATCTTCATAACATTTAAGTTTCCTGGTTTCCACAAACACACACAATTGATTTAATATTTGTACTCACAGGAACTATCTGCCCATCAGGAGTGATGCAGCCACACTCTGTAGGCTTCACACAATGATCCTGATCCTTGCGGACATATCCTGGTGGACAAGCTGGACACGGACCACATGTTGGGACACAAGAACTCCTGTCACCGTACATGCACTGTGTGATCTTGTATCTGTAGCAGTGGCAGGTCTCATCACAACGGAAGGCGCAGCCATAAACCCTCTTCTTGCAGGTGGCCAAAATGTCATAAAAGTCATTTTTATCAAAACGATTGTTGTGTATACAATCATGCAAATGTTAGCTGGTCAGAATCTCAATACAATTGACGACTGGCTACATCATGCAATTCCTTGAGCACCCAAACCTACAATCTAATGTTTGATACTTACTGGTCAACTCGGTTGTAAACCAAGGCCTTGTTGTCTCTGGAATTGTAGAGGTCCATTCTGGTGCTGTGGTCTCAGGGTAGGTCTTCTCTGGCTCTGTAACCTCTGGCTTGGTGGTCTCTGGGTAGGTCTTCTCTGGCTCTGTAACCTCTGGCCTGGTTGTCTCAGGTGGAGTTGTAGCTCCTGGAGTTGTGACCTTTCTTGTAGGTTTGGTTGTCTCAGGGTAAGTTTTCTCTGGCTCAGTGACCTCTGGCTTAGTGGTCTCTGGGTAGGTCTTTTCTGGCTCAGTGACCTCTGGCCTGGTGGTCTCTGGGTAGGTCCTCTCTGGCTCAGTAACTTCGGGCCTGGTGGTCTCTGGGTAGGTCTTCTCTGGCTCAGTAACCTCGGGCCTGGTGGTCTCTGGGTAGGTCTTCTCTGGCTCAGTAACCTCAGGCTTGGTGGTCTCTGGATAGGTCCTCTCAGGCTCAGTAACCTCTGGTCTGGTGGTCTCTGGGTAGGTCCTCTCTGGCTCAGTAACTTCGGGCCTGGTGGTCTCAGGTCGGGTGGTATATGTTTCAGGTGAGGTGGTGGATGATGGAGTTGTCACCTTCCTTGGTGTTTTGTATGTTGTTGTTATGACTGTAGTAGTTTCAGTTTCTGGTTTGGTAGTGGTGGTATACACCTTGGTCGTTACAGTAGTTTCTGGTTCAGTTGAACACAGGTTTGAGCAAGACAGCCTGTTGTTGTAGCATGTACAAACCTTGCAGTTGCCAACCTTAACAGATTTCCCTGCCTGAAACACATCGTTGAATAGTATTGAAAATCACATAAGTTTCTACATGAAATGCATCTATTACACATTGCAATGGAACTCTGATATATTTAACAAAAATAGCAGTGGACAAACACGTATTACCATTACTAAGTAAACTAACTGAAATAATAGACTATGAATAGGTTACAAATCTGTTGAGGAGCCTAACAATAAACGTTATGTTTTAAATGAAGCAATTAAGCCAGATCACGGACAACCCCGTTCTGGCAAGTTTGACTATCATCTAGTATTAGATACCACTTACTGGAATGATGACACCATCTTCGGTGATACAGTCACACGTTGTGGGCTTCACACAATGGTAGAGGTCCTTCCTGATGTAGCCTTTAGGACATTGTGGACATTCTCCACATGTTGGCACACAGGCCTTGGGGTCATTGCGCTGGCACTGAGTGATCTTGTACCTGTAGCAGTGGCAAGTCTCCTCGCACTTGAAGGAGCAGCCATACACCCTCTTCTGACATTCAGCTATAACAAATCAATTGAAAGGCATAACATCCTGTTGTACTCAGTGTTCTCCAAACTTGTTCGCTGATGATACTTCACTGTCCACCAGTAACAGATCGATCCAACGTGTAGTCACCTCACTTAACAGAGACCTGTGCTCTGTATCAAACTGGCTCACACAGTGGAAACTCGAAGCAAACAGGGATAAGTGCAAGGTGATGTACATCACAACTCGCAACATCCCAAGGCCCCTTGTACCAGTCACTCTGGGTGGAACTACCCTAGAAGTTGTTGCTAGTTACAAACATCTAGGTGTCACCTTAACGAACACACTCTCCTGGTCCAAGCACATCGATACAATTTCCACCAAGTCAAGACGATCTGCTGGCCTACTGTGTGCACTAAGAAAGAAGGTGCCAAGTGACATTCTACTCAGGCTATATAAGACCATTACACGACCTGGCCTTGAGTATGCCAACATCGTCTGGGCAGGACTCACCAAGAGCGACGAACGGAAACTGGAGTCTGTACAATACCAAACTGTCAGACTGATCAGTGGACAACATGGACTTCCTTATCCCTCCTACCAAACGTTGTACACCCAACTGTCCCTTCCGTCACTTCAGTTCAGACGGAGATTCCATACAGTCACCACCCTGTACAAGCTCCTTAACGGCCACTGTCCGCCACACCTCCAAACCCTGATACCCAGAACCCGTGCATCTGCTACTGAGTCTCGCTATCCCCTCAGGAACAGCAACCACCTGACTGTTGAACTTACCAAAACCACCAGAGGCCAGAGAACATTCTTTCACCGAGCAACGTCACTCTGGAACACTCTCTCCACTGACGCTCGCACTGCCACCACTATTGCCTCCTTTAAAAGGAAGCTATGGGACTCTCTAGGCAACCCCTATAAGCCTTAGGTGTATGACCCTGACCTCTCCACATTAATGTAAATAATTGTATTGTTGTATTGTGCATGTAAATGTTTGTCCTGTCAGCAGGGCAAGCCCTTAATAATAGCCTCCTGGCTAGTTGGGCTGCCCTGGCTGTACAATTTGTCTTTTTAACAGCCGAACGAATAAACAATAAACAATACAATTGAATTTACTTTATCCGATGCGACACGTCAAGTAAATACTAATAAAACTGCCCTTGGTTCTGAATATAATCAAGCACTTGTCCCTTGTTTCATCTATTCACTTTCGAGTGCTTTGTTCTGAACACTAGCTTCACACAAATTATGTCCTTGGTGCTGAAAACAATCATAATTCATAATACTGTCCCTAAGGCTGAACACTTACAATACATCTACTCACTTACAATACTGTCCTTGGTGCTGAATTCAATTTACACACTAGTTTCAATACTTAATTATGAACAAATGGATGTTCAAATTCGATCGCAAATAGCAATTATATCCTAGGCGAATGAGGTCTGTGTTTTTCAATCATGTCGTAGAAACATTAAAGTAATGCGAGTAGGAACCGATGCCATGATAACTAAAATAATAACAAAAAATGTGTGGTGACGTACTTGTTACAGTTGTGTATGTAGTTGGCAAAGTTGTATATTCCTCAGGTATGGTAGTATACACCTCAGGTGTAGTAGTGTAGATCTCAGGTGTAGTGGTGTAGATCTCAGGCTTGGTCGTGGAGACCTCAGTGGAAATCTCAGACGTAGTAGTAGAGGATGGCGTTGTCACTTTCCTTGGTGTTCTGTACGTTGTTGTAAGAACTGTAGTGTAGGTTTCTGGCTTAGTGGTCTCAGGGTAGGTCCTCTCTGGCCTGGTGGTCTCAGGGTAGGTCTGCTCTGGCTTGGTGGTCTCAGGATAAGTCTTCTCTGGCCTGGTGGTCTCAGGATAAGTCTTTTCTGGTCTGGTGGTCTCAGGGTAGGTCCTCTCTGGCCTAGTGGTCTCAGGGTAAGTCTTCTCTGGCCTTGTGGTTTCAGGTAAGTCTTCTCTGGCCTGGTGGTCTCAGGGTAGGTCCTCTCTGGCCTAGTGGTCTCAGGGTAGGTCCTCTCTGGCCTAGTCGTCTCAGGGTAGGTCCTCTCTGGCCTGGTGGTCTCAGGGTAGGTCTGCTCTGGCTTGGTGGTCTCAGGATAAGTCTTCTCTGGCCTGGTGGTCTCAGGGTAGGTCTTCTCTGGCCTTGTGGTCTCAGGGTAAGTCTTCTCTGGCCTTGTGGTCTCAGGGTAGGTCCTCTCTGGCCTTGTGGTCTCAGGGTAGGTCTTCTCTGGCCTGGTAGTCTCAGGGTAGGTCTTCTCTGGCCTGGTGGTCTCTGGGTATGTCTGTTCTGGCCTAGTGGTGTATGTCTCTGAAGTTGTTGATGAGGGAGTCGTAACCTTCCTTGGTGTTTTGTATGTTGTTGTCTCAGTTGCTGGTGTTGTGGTGGAAACCTCAGGCTTGGTGGTGTAGATTTCTGGAGTAGTGACGGTTCCAGTTGTCTCAACAAGTGGAGTGGTTGAGATGGTTGAGGTGGTGCAGAGGTGTGAGCAGGTAAGCTTGTTGTTGTAACAAGTGCACATAGTGCATTCATCTATCTTCTTAGTGCTTCCAGCCTAGGAGGTAACCAAGTAAGGAAATCATGTAAATTGTGTCAATACATAACCATTCATTATATTTGACATGTGTAAAGAACAGCAACATAAACTGTACAATTGTATGGTACCGAAAAACGGTTTTATGCATAACATATCAAGAATGTAAAGAATCAAGGGAAACATACTGGCACAGTGACGCCTTCTTCTGTCCTGCAGTCACATTCTGCCGGCTTGATACACCTGTCCCTGTCCATCCTAACATACCCAGCAGGGCAGGGTGGGCACTCCCCACATGTTGGTACACAGGCCTTAGGGTCTCCATATGCACACTGGGTGATCTTAGTACGGTAGCAGTGGCACACTTCATCACACTTGAAGGAACACCTGTAGACCCTTGTTGCACATTCAGCTGAAAAACATACCTTTTGTTAAACCCTGCTGTTTGTTCTACTTCCTGGTTGTATAGTTCTATTAGATATTAAGAAGCAATGACCTTTACTTTAATAAATTTTGTCATGAAATCAAGTAAAAAAACATATTCACAGCAGACTAAGATACCAGTAACTTACTAGTGCTCTCTGGTGTGGTGGTCCGTGTCTCGGGCTTTGTGGTCTGTGTCTCTGGCTTGGTGGTCTGTGTTTCTGGCTTGGTGGTCCAAGCCTCTGGCCTTGTGGTCCAAGTCTCTGGCTTGGTGGTCCAAGTCTCGGGCTTGGTGGTCTGTGCTTCTGGCTTGGTGGTCCAAGTCTCTGGCCTTGTGGTCCAAGTCTCTGGCTTGGTGGTCCAAGTCTCGGGCTTGGTGGTCCAAGTCTCTGGCCTTGTGGTCCAAGTCTCTGGCTTGGTAGTCCAAGTCTCTGGCCTTGTGGTCCAAGTTTCAGGTACTGTAGTGTACTCTTCTGGACGTGTGGTTGTGCCAGGTGTTGTTACCTTTCTTGGTGTACGGTAGGTAGTTGTCCATGTCTCTGGTGTTGTCTCCATTTCAGGTCTTGTTGTCCAGGTTTCAGGCTCAGTCGTCCATGTCTCAGGCTTGGTGGTCCAAGTCTCAGGCTTGGTGGTCCATGTCTCAGGCCTGGTGGTCCAAGTCTCTGGCCTTGTGGTCCATGTCTCTGGCCTGGTGGTCCAAGTCTCTGGCTTGGTGGTCCAAGTCTCAGGCCTGGTGGTCCAAGTCTCAGGCTTGGTGGTCCATGTCTCGGGCCTTGTGGTCCAAGTCTCTGGCTTGGTGGTCCAAGTCTCAGGCCTGGTGGTCCAAGTCTCTGGCCTTGTGGTCCATGTCTCTGGCTTGGTGGTCCATGTCTCGGGCCTTGTGGTCCAAGTCTCTGGCTTGGTCGTCCAAGTCTCAGGCTTGGTGGTCCATGTCTCGGGCTTTGTAGTCTGTGTCTCGGGCTTTGTGGTCTCTGTCTCGGGCCTGGTGGTCCATGTCTCTGGCTTGGTGGTCCATGTCTCAGGCCTTGTGGTCCATGTCTCGGGCTTGGTGGTCCAAGTCTCTGGCTTGGTAGTCCAAGTCTCTGGCCTTGTGGTCCATGTCTCTGGCCTTGTGGTCCACGTCTCTGGCTTTGTGGTCCAAGTCTCAGGCTTGGTCGTCCATGTCTCAGGCTTGGTTGTCCAAGTCTCGGGCTTTGTGGTCCATGTCTCAGGCTTGGTGGTCCATGTCTCGGGCCTTGTGGTCCATGTCTCCGGCCTTGTGGTCCATGTCTCGGGCCTTGTGGTCCAAGTCTCTGGCTTGGTCGTCCAAGTCTCAGGCTTGGTGGTCCATGTCTCTGGCTTTGTAGTCTGTGTCTCGGGCTTTGTGGTCTCTGTCTCGGGCCTGGTGGTCCAAGTTTCAGGTACCGTAGTGTACTCTTCAGGGCGTGTGGTAGTGCCAGGTGTGGTTACCTTCCTTGGTGTACGGTAGGTGGTTGTTTCTTGTGCTGAAGTAGTTTCTGGCTTCGTCACGGTGGTGCTGACAACAACTGGCGTTGTTGTGGCGCAGAAGTTCTTACATTTAAGTTGATTGTTGTAGCACTCACATATGTTGCAGGAGTCGATCTGTTTCTTCTCTCCAGCCTAAGAAAAAGAGAGAAAATTTACAGGCTGCTGTGAACATGCAAAAAAAAATTAGTAAATTATCTACATTTATCTGAAAAATGCAAATTATGACATACATCAGAGCCAATTGGATCAGACTTGTTAAGTTTCTTTACTTATTAAAGCAGTGGCAAGAGTCTAACAATTTCCCAGATCAAAAACGAAGATAAACATACCGGTTGACAAGGAGTCAAAGCTGACCTAAAGACACTGCGGAATGCTGAGTTTTAGCCATTGCTGTTTTACACAGCTAGCAGTTACTTTTATTGATATTGAAATAAGGTATCAAGACATGTTTTGAAAGTATTAACCATTTAGTGACAAGTAACTACACGCAACCTACAGGTATAACAGTTCCATCTGCTGTAACACATGGGCATGTTGTTGGCTTCACGCAGTGATCCCTATCCTTGCGGACATATCCAGGTGGGCATGCTGGGCATGGGCCACATGTTGGAACACATGAGCTCCTATCACCATACACACACTGGGTTATCTTGAACCTGAAATGGAGGTAAATGCATACATCTTACTTCAGTTCGACACATGTCATTGTGTTGTGAACAAAACAGTGTCCAAGTCTTCCGAGTTAAACTTAAAGGTTAGTCTTTTATGGTCAGTATTTACTTTCTCTGACTTTCATGCATCTTGATATTTTAATTGTCATTATTTGTTCAAATATCATTGAAAGTCAGTGTCATATATATATATTAGCTTGTATTGTATTAGACACCTACCTGTAGCAATGACAGGTCTCTTCACAGCGGAATGCACAGCCATAGACCCTCTTCTTACACTGAGCTGTAGAAAATGTATGTTTTATGATACGATGAAGCAGGGGAAGTACCGCCATGAAAAGTAGAACCACTTGGCCAAGCAATAGCCTGTTAAATGTAAGAAAATATTTCAGACAATCATTAGAACTTACTTGTCATTTCTGTTGTAAACCATGGCCTTGTTGTCTCAGGTACTGTTGACCACTCTGGCTTTGTGGTTTCTGGGTAGGTCTTCTCTGGCTCAGTAACCTCAGGCTTGGTGGTCTCTGGGTAGGTCTTCTCTGGCTCTGTAACCTCTGGCCTTGTAGTTTCTGGGTATGTCTTCTCTGGCTCAGTAACTTCAGGCCTGGTAGTAGAGGATGGTGTTGTCACCTTCCTTGGTGTTTTGTATGTTGTTGTTAGGACTGTAGTGTACGTTTCTGGCTTTGTGGTCTCTGATTCAGTAACCTCTGGCCTGGTTGTCTCAGGGTAGGTCTTCTCTGGCTCAGTAACCTCGGGCTTGGTTGTCTCAGGGTAGGTCTTCTCTGGCTCTGTAACCTCGGGCTTGGTGGTCTCTGGGTAGGTCTTCTCTGGCTCAGTAACCTCAGGCTTGGTGGTCTCTTGGTAGGTCTTCTCTGGCTCAGTAACCTCAGGCTTGGTGGTCTCTGGGTAGGTCTTCTCTGGTTCAGTAACCTCAGGCTTGGTTGTTTCAGGGTAGGTCCTCTCTG